GCTGATAGGATCACTGAATTATAGGTCTTACAAAGGGAAAAGATCAGTGGGCTGAGGACAGGATTCTAGGTTTTATTAGTATTTAAGGGTAAAAGAACTAACCAAGACGTTTAAATATAGAACAAAAGGCTTGGAAAGTACTGTAGTTCATAGTCTCATGAGCTTTTATGGCTTAGTTGGGTATCACTCTTTAGATAGGGCCCAATTCTTTATCTGCAACTGAAAACCAAGGAGTATTGAAAACCTAAAAAAAAAAATTACTGTGGTAAAATACATACGTCATAAAATTTACCTTTTTAACCCTTTTTAAGAGTGTAGTTCAGTAGTATTAGATATACTCACATTGTTGTACACCTATTACTACTGTCTGGGTTTTTTTGTTGTTGTTGTTGTTGTTGTTACCAGGAATCAAACTCAGGGCCTCATGCTTGCCAGGTAGGCACTGGATTGCTGAGCTACATCCCCAGCTTGCCACCATCTATTTCCAGGTCCGTTTCATCTTTATCTGGCACAGCTGATATTCTGTAGCCATCAGCAACTCCTCTATTTTCTATCTGTATTAATTTTACTACGCAAGTACCTTATATAAGTGGACAATGTTTGTCCTTTTATATCCAACTTATTTCACTTAGTATATTGCCTTCAAGATTTGTCCATATTTTGACATATATGCTAAGGCTGAGAAATATTCCATTGTATTATTATACACCACATTTTGTTTATCCGTTTATCTGTTAATGGACACTTGGGTTGTTTCCATCTTTTATTCACTATTGTGAATAGTACTACTAGGAACATTCGTGTACAAATACCTGTTTGAGCATTCTTTCTGGGGTTTTTTTGGTACTGGGGATCGAACTCGGGTCCTTGCGCTTGCGCAGCAGGCGGCAAAACCACTGAGCTAAATCCCTGGCCCTTTGAGCATTCTTTTTAATTTTTTTTTTTTTTTTTTGGTACCGGGGATCGAACTCAGGACCTTGTGCTTGAGAGGCAGGCAGCAGAACCACTGAGCTAAAACCCCGGCCCTTCTTTTTAATCTTTTGAGGAACTGCCATTCTGTTTTCCACAGCAGCTGCATCATTTTACTTGCTGTGAGACAGGGTTCTAACTTCTTCACACCCACATCCGCATTTGTTATTTTGTGATATTTCATTTTTTGAAATAATAACCATACCAATGAGTATAAGGCTGTATTATTGTGGTTTGATTTGGATTTCTCTAATGATTAATGATGTTGAGCATATTTTCATGTACTTATAATCTATCCTTATATTTTTAGAGAATGAAATGAAAATTTTACAATTCATTGTACAGTAAATCTCACTTTACCTAAACTCTGTTGTTGGCAAAACATGATCTGAACTAATGTGAGTCTGTTTATATTCTAGTTAGTATTCTAGTTAATGTGAATTTTTCATTTCCTTGGCTTACAAACGAGTTCTGTCCTGGGAGAGGACGTTCATAAGTTGAGTTTGTTCTTAAGTCTGACAAAATGAGTCTTATACACCTTTAACACAAATATACAAAGTAAAGCATTGAAAAAACCACACAAAAATACTGTAAATAAACTATTTTTACATTTACAGTTGTCTTAAAGTGGTAAGATAGACACGTGAACTACTTCTATGATTTGCTCACATCTATGAATGTTCATAAGGTGAAGTCCATTCTTATATGAAGGGTCCCAATTCAAATGTTCATAAGTTGGGACTTACTATATTTTGTTAAAGAAATATTAATTTGTCTGATTATGGTATGTTGCCCCAAATCCTAATGGGAGACTTGTCATTTAATATATCTGTATATAATGTAACACTTTTCTAAAATCATAAAAACTCAGATTTTTAGGATATCCTAAGGGTTTTTGAATAAGAGGTGGTAGACTGATAGCTGCTGCTTCTTTTTTATTTTTAACTTAAAGTTCTGATTTTGGAAAAAACATACAAAATTTTGGAATTCAAAATATTTATTAGTTGAGGCCACCTATACTTGTGTCTCACATCTACCCAGTTTTTTCTTTTTTGTATTTATGCTTCATGATAGCTGTTCCTACCTTTTAACCTCTCTGCGTCTTATTTTTTCATCTGAAAGGCAGGCATATTTTTCCTTACTTTGAGGGATGGATTGTGGGGATTAAATGAGACAACAGCGGGAAAAGGTTCAGAATCTGGCACAAATATGTTCCATGAATGCTGACTCTCTATTCCTTAAGTTCATGCTCTCCACCATTTTGGAGTCTGTGAACTGATTGTTCTACACTTCTTTCATCATGTAACTTTTAATCCTGAATGACAAGAATTACTTACTGTAGACTTTATGGGAAAAATGTTCAAATACCAAAAATCGTCTCTTTTCCCCTTATTTCCATCACATATTGATAAGGAGGAATGGAAGACAGAAAGGTCCAAGGGAAGCTGTCAAGTGACAGGAGAAGGTAGCAAGGAGGACAGGGCAGTATCTACATGAATTGTAGTTCTGTTAATTGTACCAGATCCAATGTTGAATACTATAGGAGTGGCTTCTATATATTAGAAATTGGAATTAGGGTCATTTAATGGAATTTGAGTGTTTGAAGATGAATAGTAGTATTTTTTTATAAAGTGCTAGTGATAAAGGTTTCATTTTCTAGAAATAGGCGTATTTAAATTTTCTTTTGTTATAGCCCAATTGCTACTGTATTTAATGCCTCCCATAGTTATCTTAGATTAAAATGTCAATTCTGACCTGGAATGTGTATCATCTTTTCAAGATTTTGGCATATTCAGTTGAGGAGGTCGTCATGGAATGGCAGAATCCTTTTTAAAAGTTTTTTTTTGGGGGGGTACTGGGAATTGAACCTCAGGACCTTGCACTTGTAAGTCAGGTGTGGTGCCACTGAGCTAAATCCCCAGCCCACAAAAGTTTTAAAAATATGTATTTTATATGCTTGATTACATTAGATACCTACCACTTTGCAAAGTTGCACATTTAATGGAAGAGTATTTTGGCTGAAAGTTTAAAATGACCTCACAAAGGTGTCCTCAGAGTAATTTAGATGTAACCGTTTGATGTTGGCAGGCACTTTGTTAATGGGGAGTTAGATGCAGCAGTGACTTTGGCCTTGTGAACAGGGAGTACTTGACTCTAGAGGCTTGCACCACTAGGGAGTTGGGAGTGGTAGAGGGTGCACATGAGCACATGTGCCCAAGTGTTTCACAGCGCAAAGGCCATGATAGGTGTGGGCAGAGGGGAATCAGTCACGAGTCTAGCTGTGTCCAGACTCTCCTAGTTGCAGTGATGTGCAAACAATTATACTGGAACTGGATATCCACTTTCACATCGGGCATCCGCCTGGAGGAGCGCTGGGCAGCTGATGGGAGAGCACTCGGACATCAGGCGGTGGTGTCACGGCAGGTGCATATTTTCAGCTTCCTTGTCTCTGATGTGATATGATCTGTGGCTCAGGAAGTTAGGTTTGGTTTCTGGTGTTTTCCTGTGCTGCTGCTATTATTGTGAGCCATGAAGATAGATGAAATAATCTTACTTGATTCTGGAATATCGTTTAAAAACCAGACTTTTAAAAACCTTTTTATGATACTCAGTTTGGTTTTTGAGAAATGAAAGAAATTTTATTTTAACTTCATTTTGTGTACTACTATATTATTTTTATCTTTGGAGGAGTCCCACTCCTTGCTGGTGTTTACAGTGCAGTTTATCCAACTAAAAGAAGATGGTTGTCTTTTGTTTTGAGGTATCTGAGGAAGAGCTCAAGGTTTCACTTGGCTATCTTCCAGCATGAAACCTGAAATTAATCCCTTGGCCTTTTATAGAAGGGAATGGTTAGAGAGACCAGGGAGCGTTCTCAAATGAGTTGTGGTGACAAAAGGCTTCTTTCTTATAAGTGAATTTATGTCAAACCAATGAATAAGGATTTTTTTCAGTTTTGTTATATGTATGTGTGTCTGTGTACTCCAAGAAACACATCATAATCTCAGTGATCTTTAAAGCATAATGCTGAAGGATAATTTTGATTGTTCTATTGATGAAGAGATATTAATACTTGTACTACTTGATAGGCTAAATTCTAGCTTTCCCTTTTTCTTAAGTAAATACAAAGTATCTGTGGTAAACACATACATGATGAATCTGTTAGTTTAGGTGCGGAGCAAATCAAATTGCTCTTGAATTTAAGGTTTTAAAACCTGAACTTTGTTATCTTTAGCAATAGCCTATATTTAAATTACTAGTAGAAGTCAAGTCATAAAGTCTTTAAAGGTCATTTGCGTTATTGTTCAGATAATTGCAGGAATGAGGGAGGCATATACTCTTTTCATTGTAAACAGAAAGTAAAGAAAAGGAATGGCCTGTACACTATAAATTTCCTCTCTTTTGACATTAGCTGCATTTGGTTCTAAGACAGACAGAAAGACACAGATGACTTTGTAATGTACAGGCTATTCCTTTCTTTTGTCAGATCTTTACAGAGTTACTAATAAAGGGAATTTTAGTACAGCGTGAACTAGAGACTCTGTTGATACTTGGTTATATTGTTTTTTTGTATTCTTACATACTTACTGGCCCTAATCAAAAAATCATTCTTTTTTATATGTGCTTACCAATTGAGTAAGGTGTTTCCATTGTTATAAGCGGAGGCAAATAAGTGACAGCCTCCCTTCTTTATCTCATATCCTTAATGCCAGCAGTTTCTTTTTAATAAGTCATTAAGGGAAGAAGTTTAGTTAAGGAAAGCATTCACAGTTTTGTTAAACATAAAAAATGCAATGATACCAACTGCGTTGGGTTCTAAGAGATATTTTGGCATTTTTATTCTTTATTTGGATGCTCTATTTAAAGAATAATGCAGCTTATTTGAAAACTTTTTATCTTTTTCCTCACCCCTTTCTGCCCATGGAATCCTGAGAAGACATTTATTTAGATTCCTCTCTTTCCTCTCTTTTCTTGTTGTTATGTGAGTGTATCTAACTTAGCTAACTTTTGTAATGTATTTCTTGACTGCACAGAAAGTTGGAGTGACTGGTCCCCCTGATCCACAAGTTCGTTGTCCTTCTATCATTGAGTTTGGAAAGTATGAAATTCACACCTGGTACTCCTCTCCATATCCTCAAGAATATTCAAGGTATGGTTTGTTTTTATGTTGGTTTTTTGTTTTTGTTTTTTTTTTGGTACCGAGGATCAAACTCAGGACCTTGCACGTGCGAGCCAGGTGGCAGAACCACTGAGCTAAATCCCTGGCCCCTCAAGGTAATGTTTTGCAGATCCTTTACTTTGTTTTTAGTTTTATAGGGCTCTAGAACCAGGAGGGGTCTGAAGATGTTTTAATCCAGTTCGTCTTTTTACATTTGAGGAAACCAGGCTCAGGCTCTTTTAAATATCCACAGTAGCATGCTGTGGCAGCCAGTTAGTCCAAGCAGGCTTTATGTTTTTTTTCTGTGAACCTGTCTAAAAGTCTTTTATCCAAGTTTTTTTTTTTTCAGTACCGGGGATCAAACTCAGGATCTTGTGCTTGCAAGGCAGGTGGCAGAACCACTGAGCTAAATTCCCAGCCCTAAAATTATTTTAAAATTAGAAACCAAAAACCTTACACATGGTCAGGGCAAAAGAGGAATGTGTTCTCTTTAAGAGAAATTTGCTTTTACTCTTTACACTAAAGATTTTTTAAGGCTCATAAATAGCTACAATAAATACAAAGTTTCACCTCCATAGCCTTTGATCTAAATTTAACAAATTTAGTGGACAGTGTATATAGGAATTATTGGACAAATAGGATACTATAGTTTTATATATAAATAGCTTGGGTTTCCAGCTATAAAAACTGATCATGTTTCATCCAACTTTTTGTGATGAGGCTGCTTGTATAGTGGAGCCAAACTGGTTTTGTGACTTGGCTCTGACGTTTATAAGCAGTGTAACCTTCAAAGCTACTCTGCTACTCTGTACCTCCATTTCCTCATCTGTAAAGTGGGGATACTAATAGTACTTGCCTCATAGGGCTATTATGAGCATTAAATGAGTTAAAACATGTAAATCAGAAAATGGTAAGTGCTCAATAATATTAGTTGTATTTCTTTTAGTGTTGAAATTAAAAGAGATCATGTAAGATAATAAACAAGTTAAACACTAGTTTATCATTTGAATAGCAGTCATATTAATGCTTTCTAATCTGTGAGCTACTTATGCCCATTTCCTATTTTAGCAAGTGTTGTAAGGAATAATAAAGTATGATTCTCTGTGCATTAAATGTGTGTTCAAAATATTTGCATAACTTTTTACCTGTCTAATAATATTGCCTGTCTGAAATATTAGTAAAATTAATTGTTACATTTATTTAGTTATTTCCAAGAAGCTGAGAATATGCCAGTGTAGTTTTGTTTTGTAGGTTTTTGTTTTGTTTTGTGTGTGTGTGAGAGAGGATTCTCTGTGTAGTTCAGTCTGGCCTTGAACTCACTGTGCAGTCCAGGCTGGCCTCAGACTGATGGCAATCTTCCTGACTTAGACTACCAAGTGCTCAGATTACAGACATGCACAACCATGCCCAGTGCCAGTGTAGTTTTTAAAAGGACCTTCTACTGGAAGTCAGCATCTTGGCCTGGGGATTTAGCTCAGTGGAACCGCGCTTGCCTTGCAAGTGGAGGGTCCTGAGTTCGATCTGCAGTACCCAAAAAACAACAACAAAAAAAGTCAGCATCTTTTCTTTCCCTATAATGTAATAACTTTCAGATATACTTTCCAAGTATGTAGCAGAAGTAAAAAAGTAGGAGCAAGAATGCTATTATAGACCCTGACCTCAGTGAAGACATCACAACTACCAAAAGAAGAGGCAAAAACAAAGCTCCAGAAAACTGACACACAGGCTCACAAAACAATTTTGAGAACATTTACAGTTGGTCAGTTAGTCCTAAACTAAGCGATAAATGTGGTGTCACCTTTAAGGCAGTACTCTATATCACAGAATAACAACAATTAATCTGAGTTTGTTAAGAAGGATGGATGGGTAAAATAAGTCAAGAAATCCTTCAACTACCTGCAGAACTCTGACATTCAAGGTAACTCATTCCTCTGGAGTTGAGATAACCTCTTAGGATCAGGAAGAAATACACTGAAGAATTCATTCAACAGGTTTAAGTGAGCTTTATTTATTTATTTATTTTGGTACCAGGGATCGAACTCGGGTCCTTGCGCTTGCGCAGCAGGCGGCAAAACCACTGAGCTAAATCCCCGGCCCTTTTGTTCTCTTCTTGACTTGATCTGTTTTGTAGCTTATGATGTTGTTACTAGAATCAGGTTTGACATCCCAATTACTGAAGAAGAAACAAAATAGAATCCCTAATGGCTTTTGGCTACTAGATAATGAACTAAAATAGACAAAAGGAGAATTTTTAAAAATCATAAATAATAGCAGCTATAATTATCACTCACTGAACTTGGTACTTGGCTCCAAGCATCTTAGAAATAATTTTGTGAGGTAGATATATCTATCTTTATTTTACAGACCCGAGCCAGCAAATGTGTGTTCAAGACACAATAGTTTGTGAATGGCAGAACTAAGATTTACGCCCACTTCCCCAGAACACACAGCCATAGCATTTAACCACTGTGCTTGTGCTGTTCCTTACAGCATGTGGTTCTAGATTGAGCTGACTTGGTCTGTGCCTTGGTCTTTAAGTAATATTTGATGGAATTTTTATATCAAATTTACTACAATTTGACCCATTGTAACGGCCACACAAATTGCTACTATCTTGGGTCATGTTTAAAAGTCAGAGGTATGGTAGGAACTCTTAGGGAAAATATTTGCGTCATTCTAGAAGTAAGGAAATTACACATAGCTGTACTCTATGCCTGATTTCACAAACTGGAATGTCAGCATATTGGCAGACTTGAGAACAAACTTCAAGTATGGAGGCTGTACCCCATGATGCAGCTAATGAAGTGAACTCAAGACCTAGATGCATCAGGAAGATCACAAAAGCAGCCCCAAGGAGAATCCTTTAGGGCTGGGAGTTTAATCTCCATAACTACATTTCCCTTCATGTAATGTTCTTTCTATATTTTTTTTCAGTGAGAGAACTGCAGCTATTTTTACTTTACTAAAAGAAACATTTTTCCAGGTTATTTTTTTTGGAGTAACAGTGTCATCCTAGTGGGCTTGGTTCTAATAAAGTCAGTGAATTTTAAAATGTTTACAGCAAGAAATAGATTGGGATAAAGTTGATCATAATGCTTATTTTTACTTTTTTATTTTTCATACAATAAGGTTGGTTCACTAAAGATTTTTTTATTGTTAGTAAAATGTTCTAAGACAATGGCATAGACTCATAATTTACTAGATACGACTTGGCAGTAAGTTTCTCAGAGATTTCACTTGTAATATTTTCTTGAGCAACTTAGTTATTGCTAGAACTTTAAAAAAATTTTGGCCTTTTCTCACAGACCATACACAATAAATTATTGTGCTTTCTTTTTTAAAAAAATGTTTCTAAACAGAAGTGTTTATTGAATATTTATTATTTTAATTGACAAAATTATATTTATCATTAACAACATGAAAAGTTAGCCTTTATTTTTAACTTGGAAAGCTTAAGTGATCTGTCAGTAGTTTTACCTGTTATTTTTCCTTCTGAATAGCTTAAAAAGCACAGGATTATGTTTAGGTTTCTCAGACTCACATTTTAGGAAATTTATGCTTTTTTTTTTTGTCCTGGGGATCAAACTCAGGACTTCACACTTGCCAGCCAGGCACTTGTGCCTCTGAGCTATATCCCTGTCCCGGAAATTTATAGTTATAGCATTTAGCCCTCAAAGTGAATCTTTGCTCAAGTAGTGCTACTCATGTGTCTTCATATTGTGACAGTTTAAAATTGCTTATTGAGAACTTAGCACAAGTAAATAAAAGTAAGTGGTAGAAAGTTAAGTAGGAGGATGCCATTCTTTTACTTTCCTTTTAAGAAGAAATTACTCAAATTCCATTTATTCAGGAAGACAGGTGGCAGTTATAAGGCACTTTAAGACTTAATACAATTAATTCCCACATTAGATGACAGAATGTATAATTTTAGGATTGTAAAATGGAAATTTTAGGATTTATAGGCTTGGTGTTAAAGAAGGAAAAAGCTATTTATCTTACTGTCATTCCTCCTCTCAATGGTGGGGTTTGAGGCAGTATACAAAGGATATAAGTAAAATTGTCTAGGATACATTTCTTTTCCATGCTCTTGGCTCCTGCTTCTTGTTTTTATGTCAGTCACTTGTTTCACTCAATACTTTATTTTGGAATGGTTTTTGTAGTAATGATATGCTCTTAGGTTATTCTGGTATAGCTAATACTAGAGATTTTGGAAAACTAGACGTAACAGGACTGATGTTCCATAAATACCTTGGGAAAGGCTTTAGTAGAATGTTAGGTGTTTGCAGATAAATTGAAATAGTGCTTCAAAAGCTGTCTTCAGAATGGGAACTTGAAAATGTAGTTGTGTTCACACTTTAATAAATTAAATATTTTTGTGTATATTAATTTATTTAGCAAGTATTTTTAATTCTAGGGTAATTTTTTAATTATTACTGTCTAGGAGGATCACAGCGAGTTCAAAGCAAGCCTGGGCTACATAGTGAGTTCAAGGCCAGTGTTAAGTACATAGTGAGACCTGTCTAAAAAAAAAAAGATTATCACTGTCTAAACTGATAGCAACTAAATTAATAAAGTTTCTGAAATTTTCTTCCATCTCAGTACTTATATGAGACAAGACACAGTACTTTGTTTGAATTACATATGTCATTTTACCATCCAGTAAACATATAGTTTGAATGATGGTATCAGATCTCAGATTATCAAGACAGTACCAGTTCTGGATACAAGTCAAGATACAGAAAAGCTGGCTTTCTTATAACAGAAGAGCCTTGCTGTATTAAGAATTCAGACTAAGGGCCGGGGATTTAGCTCAGTGGCGCTGCACCTGCCTTGCAAGCACGAGGTCCTAAGTTCGATCCATGGTACCAAAAAAAATAAAATAAAATAAAAAAGAATTCAGACTAAAATATATGTGAAAGCCACTAATTTTTAATTTAGGTTATGTTCCTTCCATTATCTTATGAACTGATCTAATCACTTAATTTTATTGCCAAGCTCCTCATAAAAGGGATATTACTGTATAAAGATGAAGTTCTGTTAAACTATTACTGAAACAGACAATTGAATAAATATACATTAACAATGAGAACATCTGAAAGAATAATTTGAGCCTATATTTCACTTGTTGAATAATAGACTGTTTACTCAATAGTAGTCTGTTTTGAAAATATACAGTACATGTCCATTTTTCTGAGCACTGTATATACACCTGATACACCTAGTGAGGGGTCTGACATATGTTAAGTATTCAAGAGATATTTATTTCTCCAAATTAATGGATGAATGATGAAATAAACAAGAAAGAATCTATAGCTCAGCAAAATCATCAACTTATTTGTGTTAGGAAGGTAAACTTGATTCTGCCTTTTACAGATTATCAAGGGGGTAAGAATGTGAGATTTTCATATCTGTCAATCAAGTAATTTCAATTTAAAATTAGCCTAACAGAAAGTAAACTGAACTGGTTGTCTTGATTTCTCTCATCCTTTCCCCCTATTGTTGATTAATTGGTGACTGCTAAGTTAATTTTTTTTTCTTTCATTCATTGATTAATGGACACACTAATATAGTCCCTACCTTTATAACTTGGGTAATGAAAGACAGACGGAAAAGAAAGAATTGTAAACATTTGAAGATCTATAAAATATAAAGCCCTTTTTAAAAATTATTATTTACAGGCTGCCTAAATTGTATCTTTGTGAGTTTTGTCTAAAATATATGAAAAGTAGAACTATTCTACAGCAACACATGAAGAAATGTGGTTGGTTCCATCCTCCTGCCAATGAGATTTACCGAAAGAATAATATTTCTGTCTTTGAGGTAAGGTGAATGTTTAGTATGTGTCTTCCTATTCATTTCAACAACAGTACCAACTGTGCTGTGTGTAGCTGTGCAACATAATTTTTTGGGAAATGTTTTACTTTTAGTTACATAAGACGCTGATTCAGGCCAGCCCAAATGGTACCCAGTTCACCAGCTTGGCTTTAGAATAGATTACTCTGCATTTAATTGAATCTAAGACATAAATTATTATATATCTTACTATTTTTTATGTACCACCAAAGGGGAAAAATACTGCTAATTATAATATCTAAGACTTCATTTGATAAAATGCTAACCAATTTTACATATGTTAAAAGTGTGTCTTTTAGACTCTTTGAAGTATGGCATTTAAATGAAAGGATTTCTGTGACTTACTTAAAAGGAATAGAGATGTATTCCATAATATTAGTAAACCTTAGTATCATGTTGATATGACTTATGTCTGTGGTTCTGTATTGCTATTAATAGTAATGTCTGATTTTTTGATCTTCAGTTCTGAAGTTTCCATGCCAAATATTGAGTATTTCCTATATGCTCAGTCTTGTTAATTAATACGGTGATACAGTTTCAGATTGTCTGGATCTGCTCAATCTCTCTTTCTTGCTTGACTAAGACTTTATTTTAGGTGATCAGTAGAGGAGCTCTTCACCTTGAGAGTAGGGAGATTTCAGGTGTGGTATACAGTACTGTTTCAGAGCATTTAAAAGCAAGTTGCTTCTTGATCATACATTTGTTTGTATTTTAAAAGAAGTTTTATGAAGTATTGTACATTTAGATTGTTGAGTTCAGTTAGCCTGTCTTGAGAACTAATGTGGGTATCCAGCATTTTATAAAAGAGTGAACTCTAGCAACTCAAGAACACAGGAATGTCAAGATCAGCAGTACGTTTGCCAGATTCATAAGAACCTGTGTGGTGTCTCTGAAAGGCAATAGTTAGTACTCCCTTGTATAGGCTTATTTGGAGTATACCTGATTGTGGTAGTCAGACCGTGTTGCTTCAAGCTGCTGCTAGAGATAAGACATCACTTATGTTTTACCTAATGAATGTATTTTAGTAAAGGTTATATTTTTTAAATCTTTTATTGAAAATTAAGTACTTTTGAAAATGAAGCTTGCTTTCAGAAGTATTCCTACAATCTTTTTTATAAAAGCAAAATACAGTTTTAAAATTAGATCACCTTCTCCTTATTTAGCTATTCTTGCTTTGTTGATGTATAGTATCTTATATATTTGATTATCTTAAAATAGCAGGTTCCATGATAGCTGTCATTTTAAAGCAGAGCTTCCAGGTTCTAGTGTGTTCTGATCACTGACATCGTCTCTTGGGCTAGGCTGCAGATACCTAGAGTTGCTTGTAACTGATGGGTATTGTTCTAGAACTAAGGAATATTTTACTGACCACTTCTTCCTGTTTTTTTGTACCCCCTTTAGGTTGATGGGAACGTGAGTACCATTTATTGTCAAAACCTGTGTCTCTTGGCAAAGTTGTTTCTTGACCACAAAACACTCTATTATGACGTGGAACCATTTCTTTTTTATGTACTAACACAGAATGATGTCAAGGGCTGCCACCTTGTTGGCTACTTTTCTAAAGTAAGTATGTCAGCTTAAAATGTTTGAATTCACCTGGAAGTCTGGAGTGGTTTTTGCTGTTTCTCAGTAGGAGGTAGTACAAGTGTCATTTAGCTTTTTAGAAAAGGAAATGGAAAGAACATTCAGAAACTTACCAGCTGTTTAGAAGATGCCTAGTAACGTTTAACAACCTATATTCTCTCAGGAACATGAACTGCTGGGAATACTCAAGAGGGGAAGTTTTAAAAGGACTTCTGGTCCCATGGTGATAATAGATAGATGTGAAATAAACAAAGTCATTACTTCTTAGTTCTTTTCAGTTTAAATCTCTTCCTAATTTGAATTTTTAGGCCTAGAATAAGAGGCCATTTTTATCAAATAATATTTTCTTCTTCCTTCATCTTCCATTCCCTTAGGGGAAAAAAGTTTCTACTCAAACAACATAAAGATACACTTTTATTTTAAGCAAGCCTATAGTAAAACCTTAATTTTTACATAACAGTTCAGTAGCAAGTGCTAGCTTTGTAAGAGTTAAGGACTACTTCACTAGCCAAATAGGATTTAGAATGTTTTGACTAACCTATAAAAAGGTATTTGTTTCTCACATTCAGAACCATTTTGTGTAAAGTTAAGTGTAACAAGTAGGGAGTGAGGTTGCCATATGTAGCAACAAAGCAGGAAATAAACTTTGAAGTAGTTGATGAATTTTCTCCCTCCTAGAGTGCTGCATTGATTCATCATTTTTAGCATGCAGATTATTTGGGTCTCAGATTCTTCTGCTGATCTGAGGTATTGACATACTGATTTTGAGTTGCAGGTGGTGTTGGATGGTGTCATTTTATCTTAAATTTTTACTCCCCCAGGATGGTTGCTTTGTGGATAATGGCAGTGGCTTAACATTGTCTTGTCTTCTCCCACTGGTGTGATTTTTTTTCTTGATTTTTTTTTTCTATTCCCAGGGGCCTCAGGCTGTGGTTTTAGCTGTTAGTCTTTGTTTCTTAATAATTAGCTTTGCTATCCAGTTTTGCCAGCTTGTTATTTTAAAATTTGCCTTCTGTTTTCTCCACCAGGAAAAGCACTGCCAGCAGAAATACAACGTTTCCTGTATAATGATTCTTCCCCAGTACCAGCGCAAGGGCTATGGCAGGTTCCTCATTGATTTCAGTAAGGGTTATATTAATATATCTTCTCATTATCTCTTCTTGGGAACCTTCTGGATATGTGTATTAAAAAATTTATAGATGGTGTATTGGTTCATAGTATCTCCTGTCATGATTGGACAGGTCCTTAAAACTTAAAACCACAAGTATTTTTCCTTTGGTTGGACATAGTTCTAAATAGCTAATACTGAATACAACTTTGTGTGATCTGCGGCAAATTAATTTGAAGCTGTTTGTTTATAATGGAAATAGATTTTATGCATTTGTACTAACATTGCATAACTACTCAAATAGGTGTTAGAAAAAAAAAGTACAGCACTCGTCCTATTTTTATTAACCCATTAGCTGAGAATATGTGTGCACTTCTCAGTTAACAGTCTCTCCCTAGTGGTTAAAAATGTGCAATACAACTTTTAAAATCCTAAAAAGTGAATGATACAGGAAATAATTTAATCTGAGTTAGAAAGTAAAAGCTACCACTTATAAAGAGGTCATTGTAGAACTTGCATTCTGTTCTACTTACAGGTAAACTTGCTAAAAAGTTAAGTGTATGTGGTAAATTTGATGGTCATGAAACAGTGATTTGAGGGAATATTTTCCCTGTTTTTGCTTTAAAATATTTTAAAGGAATATATACAGAGATATAAACAGAAAGAGTCCACTCTTGAGAAGTTAATTCTCACCTACACAGTTAAACTTGTTTTACTTTGCTTTCAACTACCATATTTTATTGGAAATAGGTGCTACTGGTTATTTTGTACATTTTCTGGGCATTTTTGGATTAGTGATAGGGGATGGAACTCAGACTATTTCCTCTAATATTAATATATTGCTTTGAAATAAGACTCAGGATTGGTGTGTTATAGCACTAAATAGCTCCATTAGGAAAAATATTTTATTTATGGTGATTAGTGATATTTCATTTTATTTATGGTGACTTTGAGGTAGTTATCTGTATGATTACAGTGTTTCATACACCATACATACAGTGTATGTATATACAGTGTTTACTTTTCTTGGTGTAGAATATTTTTCCAGATTACCGTTCTTAGACTGCTTTTAAAATTCCTTGAATGACAAAAGCAACTGTTATTTCTTCTGCCATCTCCATTTTCAATGCTTTTCTCTTGGAACTTCTATGCCCTTTCTTTACCTGTTCTTGAGAGTCATGCACTACAACAGAGTTCAGAATAATACACCATATGCTTACAGTAAAACACTCATCCTGACAGTCTCATTTTCTAAGAATAGAGTGATAAGTAATTGTAAGGAGGCTTTGTTGGTTGAAGTGAGAAATTTTCCCCATTTTGCTCACAGAAGAACTGCAATCTTTCTTTTTTTTTTTTTGGTACCAGGGATCGAACTCAGGTCCTTGTGTTTGTGCAGCAGGCATCGAAACCACTGAGCTAAATCCCCGGCCCTAAGAGCTGCAATCTTAGAATTAGGCAGAAACTGAGGCATTCTTTGTACTGTATATTTCTTAGTTAGGTATAGCAGATGCCATCATATGGTCCAAATAAAACTTGCAAATGTTTTTTTTTCCCTTGAAATTAAAAATATTGTTGCCTTAATCTCATTATTAATGCAGCTTGTTAATGGGAGTCTTAATTTTTTAACAGCTTGATATTTAAACAAAGTGATTTATATTGATTGTAGACAAAATTCAATCTACTGTTCAATATATAAAAATTGTTATCTTCCTCTAAATTTGTTTTAGTTTTGCAGTTTTGTTCCCCATTTTTGAAGGAATTTACCTTTGATATTATTATTGCCTATAATACTTGGATTAGGTGTGGGAAGGGGCATTATTATTTTGGTGAATCAAATTGTTTTAGGGTCCCTGACATTTTTTGATCTGGGGTTTCTTTAGGTTATTTGTTATCAAAGCGTGAAGGCCAGGCAGGGTCTCCAGAGAAACCATTATCAGATCTTGGACGTCTTTCCTATATGGCTTATTGGAAAAGTGTAATATTGGAGTGCCTTTATCACCAAAATGACAAACAACTCAGCATCAAGAAGTTAAGTAAGTTGACTGGAATCTGCCCTCAAGACATCACTTCCACACTGCACCACCTACGAATGCTGGACTTCCGTAGTGACCAGTGAGTATCAGATCCCTCTGTACACTTTTAGAAGGTAACTAGAGGGAAGCTTTTGGGTGAGGTAGCCAGATTACTGGGAAAAGGGTGGTAACTAATATAAGTGGTATACTTGGTGGTATTGAGAAATTATTTTTATTTCTATGGTATTTTATTCTAACGACTATATTTTTAAGTTGTTTTTCTAGTCTTCTTTCTAACTTTTGGACCTAAGCCACTGAATCTCATCTTGTGGAATTGAGAGCTCATTTTATAAGAATTAACAACATAGAAACCATGTCATTAAATAAAATATGTCCTTGATTAATTTCTGTATAAATGGTACAAAGTGAAATGAATATTGAGGACAGACAGTCCATCCTTGCCCAAAGTAGTCAGGAAAAGTCACAGAGGCAGACATTTGAGCTAAATAGAGAATAGGAAAGAAAGATCAGAAGAACAGGAGAAATGGCAAATGTGGGAAGTATGATTCAATAAATGGTCAAATAATATACTCCACTGCTATAGTGGCATATAATGTTTTTGTCCAACTTCATAGTTATTAGCTATCACATTGGTAGCATATTATCCTATTCCATCTTCCCAAGCAGGCTATTTGTAAAGCATTCATCATTATCGTTTCCAGGGTTAGGTTATATCTGTATATTAATTTTTTTGTGCATCTTGTACATTGTTGATTGCTATAAACTTTTCTCTGGTTTTAGATTTGTGATTATCCGCCGGGAAAAACTTATCCAGGATCATATGGCAAAGCTTCAGTTGAATCTGAGACCAGTGGATGTAGATCCAGAATGTTTACGCTGGACTCCTGTCATAGTCTCCAACTCTGTTGTCTCAGAGGACGAAGAAGAGGAAGCTGATGAAGAAGAAAACGAAGAGCCGCAGTGCCAGGAAAGAGATTTAGAGACCAATGTAAGGGCATGAGTGTTGTGTTTTTTATGACAGATGATGTTGTTTTGGTTTTCATTAGTATTTGTGGTATGTATTATGATATTTTACCAACAAAGTAAATTCATCCTAGAATTTTAGAGTTTTATTTCAGTGGTAGAAATTTCAGGAAGACTGGCTCTTATTTGTGTAGTTTGTAAGCCCATCAGGTTTCTTAAACTGTGTTAATTATGACTAAAAATTATGACTAAAAATTCATCTCTAGGCAGTTGGATTTTAAGCTGTATAGTAATTGAGTCTGCATTAATCTATGACAGTTGTTAAAATGAAATGAAAATACATGTTCTTTAAAATAGAATGTTAGGGAAATGTTTTCAGCAGAGCACTGAAAAGTTCAGTGGATATACAGACATCTTTAACAATTGAAAGGTTGATAGTTATCTATACTACATTGTACAGTTTTCAACATTTTTCTTTATGTGATATATACCTTTTTTTTCCCCTTTCATCCTTACGTCCTCCTTTGATAAATATAAAACTTTTGACATTTTTAGTGTAATTTAATTTTCAAAGTGGAATTAAATATTAGAATGAAAATAATTTCAGAATTTTTTTCATATTTTTCAATTGTCTTTTTCCTCTTGCCCATGCTCTGAGAGCCTATTCTACCCTGTTGATAAATTTTTATTTTAGAAAAACTTTATATATAATCTCACCATTTATAAGAGCCACTCACTTTGTGTATCAGGATGAAACACAAACTGCAGTCAGACTGCTTAGATTTGTGTTCCAGCTTCTTAATTTACTAGTGTATGACATAGGTAGTAGTAGGGGGTTTTTTGTGCCTCTGTACCTCATTTGTAAGATGGAGATAAGACAATACTTCACACAGTTGTTGTGAAGATTAAATGAATAATGCATAAGTAGTAAATAGTACATTTAAAACATTGCCTACATAGGAAATGTTCATGTTAATTATTAAGTAATTAGTCATTTTCCTTTTAAAGCTCTGATTTCTTATCTCAGTATGTATTTAAAAGAGCAGAATAGGTGGATATAATCAAACAGGACTGAAAAATTAAGCAGCATTGTTTTATTTTCTAAAATCAGGTGGGAAAGTCAGTATCTCGGGAAAACAAAGATCAAGATTCTTATTCTTCAGTAGAAAGTGAAAAGAAACCGGAAGTTACAGCTCCCGCTGTCTCTACACGTTTGAGCAAACAGGTCCTTCCCCGAAACAGTCTTCCTGCAAACAGCCAGCCCTCTCGGCGGGGCCGCTGCGGGAGGAAGAACAGAAAGACCCAGGAACGGTTTGGTGATAAAGAGTCTAAACTGCTCTTGGAAGAGACTTCATCAGCTCCTCAGGAACAATATGGAGAATGTGAGGAAAAGTCAGAAACCTCCCAAGAACAATATGCCGAGAGTGAGGAGCAATTGACAGCCTCTCAGGAGCAGCCAAGGCAGGAAGGGAAGCCAGACATTCCCAAAAGAAGATTAAGTGAGGGGATTGAGCTGTGGCGGGGACAGTTAAAGAAAAGCCCCGAGGACCTGAAGTGCAGATTACCAGAAGGAAATGATAGACTGCAGCGCTGCTACAGTGATGGTGACAGGGCTGTCCTTAGAGGCTTTAGTGAGAGTAGTGAGGAGGAAGAGGAGGAGGAGGAGGAGGAGGAGGAGGAGGAGGAGGAACCAGAAAGTTCTCGGTCAAACTCACCACCAATTCTTACAAAACCCACTTTAAAGAGAAAGGTAATATATTTTGTACATGTCTTTTCTTCCTCTAGTTGCAGTTTATTGTACACCTGTTTTTCTGTCTTACAGTTCTGAAAGAATAAAACTAGAAGTTCCTAGTGTTGTTTTTAAACTTTTAAACCTCAATATATTATAGCGCATGATCTTCCCAGGACATACTTGAAATGTGTGACGTTTGGTTCTTGGGAATTATTTATCACTCATAAGTTTATTTAAGGGCAAACTGTTTTAGCTTGCTGGTTTTGTGTTCAAATCAGGCACAGTGAGAGATTAACAATAATAAACAACAGTAAAATGGAACAATTATAACAGTATAATAAAAGTTAGGTACTGAGAAGAAGTTTGTGGCATCTTTTTGGCTTATCTGAACTGCCAGCATCACTGCTTTTGCACTTGGGGTCTTTATTAAGTAAAAGAAGGGTGATCTGAATGAACACAAGCACTGGGATACCAAGACAGTCTATCAGAAATCAAAGGTGGCCACTAAGCGCCTCACGGGTGGCTATTGTACGAAGCATGGATATACCAGACAAAGGGATCCTTTACATCCAGGGCAGGAAGGAAGAAGCAGGATGGCACGAGACTTCATCACACTATTCAGAACAGCATGCAATTTTAAAATTATGAATTATTTCTGGAATTTTCCATTTAATATTTTTGGAGTGCAGTTGAACATGAGAGTAAGTAAAATTATGGAAAGTGCAACTAGTGTTAAGAGGGGACTACTGTATACCGGAAGTATCCCAGGGTATGGAGTGAACTTTCAACACTGCCTAAGCCAGCCAGATTCAGGCACGTTAGTGCCCTGCAGAGCCCCACTCTGTAGAGATGGGTGACAGCTTTCTCCCAGGGCAGTGAAATCATTCCTTTCCTTACCAAGACCTTTTTAAAAAAAATCTTTAAAGAACATTTTCATCACTGCAAAGAAAAGACAGCAAGCTCCCATATGCCCCATACCCAGTTTGCCCTCCTATGTTGGTAGGGTATTTATTATCACAATTCATGATTCATTGTAGATCCATTAGTGACTAGAGTCCATACTTGATTCCAGTTTTCAGTTTTCCCTAATGTCGTTTTCTTGTTCAAGGGTCCTATCCAGCATACCACGCTACAGTGGGTGGTCATGTATCGTTAGGCTCTTCTTAGTTGTGACAGTTTCTCAGTCTTTCTTTGTTTTCGACAGCCTTGACAGTTGTGAAGATTACTGGTCAGTTACTTTGTGGAATATAACATCCCTTGTGAAATTAGAAAGGGGCAGTGTGGTTTTTGAGAGGAAAACCATAGAAGTAAAGTGCCCCTTTCACCACGTTAGAAAGAGGTTATCTGTCAGTATGGATCTCTGTGTCAAGGGCATGTACGATCTCAGTACACCTTCTTGTTAACTCAGGTGGTGCTTGGCAGGTTACTCCCTCCTTCCCTTTATCTTTACTCTGCTGGGGTAAAGTCACACTGTGCAGCCCACACTTAAGATGTAGGTAGTTTTCCTGAAAGCAGAATCTGCGTGAATTATTTGCTTGGGAGATTTGTCATTTCTCCCCATTTGTTGATTTATTCTGGTGTCCATTCCTGTAGTATGGTCTCATAGATATTTACCTGACATTTCAATTTATCATCCAGTGCTATTTTTTTTTTTAATTTGTTGCTCAAATTGTTCAACCTTGGCCATTAGCTCATTCCGTCGATGCCTTGATCACTGTGTGGTTTTTGTTTTGATCACTTTCTTACTTTCTGGTTCTATGAGATCCTCCAACTTTATCTTCTCTTTTTCCTGCTCCAGGCCTAGAATAAGCCATTTCTCAAAGGAGCAGAGTCATTTTTTAAAAATTCTTTTATTGGTACATTTTAGGTATACAATACGTTTACATTTATCATTGGGTGCTTGTACTTGTACATGATATATCTTGGTTCTTATTTTTCCCCCATTACCTGTGTGTCCTTCACCCCCTCCACCCTTCCCTATTTACATAGACATCATTTCCATTTTTTTTTTCTCAATTTTTCCTTTCTCTTCTTTCCTTTCCCGTTCCCCTTCCACCACCCCTACCCTTTTGGACCTTTTCCTATTTCAAATTATCAATTATTCATTTTAATCATTTTAATCCTTATTTACACTTTCAGTTTCTCACACTAGAGAAACTATTCTGTATTTACACATGTGTGTCCTATTTATTTCACTTAAGAGTATGGCCTCAATATGCATCCATTTAGCTATAAATGTCTCTAGTTTCTCGTTCTTTATGGCTGAGTAGTACTCCATTTTATAAAAAAACCCACATCTTCTTTATCCAGTTTGCAGTTGATGGGCACTTGGGCTGTTTCCAAGCTTTAGCTATTACAAACTGTGCCGCTGTGAACATGGGTGCACATATATCACTGTGGTATGATTCTTTTAATTCTTTGGGGAAGATCCCCCCAGCAGGAATAGCTGGGTCAAATGGGTCTTCTAGTCCTAGTTCTTTGAGGTATCTCCATACTGATTTCCACGGTGGTTGCACCAGTCTACATCCCCACCAACAATGGAGAAGGGTTCCTTTCTTTCCACAACCCCGCCAGCATTTGTTACTGGTTGATTTCTTGACAGCAGGCATTCTTTGTGGGGTGAGGTGGAATCTTAGTGTTGTTTTCATCTGCGTCTCTCGAATGACCAGTGATATTGAACATTTTTTCATATATTTATTTGCAAGCAGAGCCATTTTTAAATCTAATTTTAAAATTATATTCTCAGTTAGAACTCATAGATTTGAAGTAGAGAAAAACAGGACTTTGATTCATTTTACTATTCATTGTGCAAAGAATATCTTTGCCATCCCAGGGGCTTATATTGCCTGTTTATAAACTCAAATATTTTGTTTTCTTGTATTAAAAAAATATTGTGGTAACCAGTGAGATCATATGCAAAGTACTTTTGACATTCTTGAAGAAGTTCACTTGACTGGTAATCAAGGCATTGTGGACTGTATTTACAGCAGTTTCTACACTAGATGTGTGATCTTGGGCAAGTTGTATGACCTTTCTAGCCTCTATAAAATGAGGGATTGTGGAGGGATCATCTCTATTACTTTGTATACTTAAAATATTAGGTCAGCAAGTGCAAAGGTGCGCCTAATATGCCAAATTTCAATGCCAGATTCATTTCACTTTTGAAAAGTATCACTAATACCAAGTAAATACATTTCAGCTACATATTTCTACACTTCACTGGAACTTTTTATGGATGGTCCATGAAAATGATGTATAGCTTTATTGATCTGCTAACCATCAGGGTAGTATATGAGACTGTTTTTATTCCTGTTTTGCTCTGGAAGAAAAGAGAAGTTAAAGAACTAGTCTCTGGGTTGTTTCACTATTGAAATAGATGCCTCCCTGTGGTGTTAACTTCACTGAACTACTAATAAGTTAATTATAATGTCTGCTCTGTGGACATCCCTGCTTTTTCTTTCACAGTTTTATGCAACTATGCAACATCTTTATGTATAGTAGCTTGCTTTAGTATTTTGAAATATTTAGACTGGTTTTTTGGCAAACAATATTCTCATTTTATATGTGCTAATTCTATTAGATTTTTGTTGTTGTTGTTGTTGCTGATTTTTTTTTGTTTTGTTTTCTTTTTTGGTTTTTAAGACCAGGGTCTCGCTATGCAGTTCAGGCTGGCCTTGAACTCACTATGTAGCCGAGGCTGGCCTCCAACTTGGAATGATCCTCCTGCCTCAGCCTCCCAAGTGCTGAGACTGTGGGCATGTTCCACCATGCCTAGCTCTACTAGGTTTAAAACAACTTTCTTGCTATTCATAGAAAAGGTGGTATTCATTATTATTAAAATACTTGATTTTTCTACTAAATAGAAACCAGTTCTTCACCGAAGAAGGAGAGTCCGAAAACGGAAACACCATAATAGCAGTGTAGTCACAGAAACTATTTCTGAGACCACAGAGGTGTTAGATGAACCTTTTGAAGATTCTGATTCTGAGAGACCAATGCCGCGATTAGAACCCACATTTGAGATTGAGGAAGAGGAGGAGGAGGAGGAGGAGGAGGAGGAGGAAGAGGAGGAGGAGAATGAGCTCTTCCACAGAGGATACTTCCACCGCCTGTCCTCACAAAGTGTTCTCAGGTGCCGATCTGCTTCAAAGAGGAAGTCAAAAGAGGAAGAGGAAGATGAAGAATCAGATGATCCTGATGGTAAGTATGCTGATAAGTAACCACTGTTACTTATTATAGTTTTCCTTAAATACATAGCAGTAATTTAACAAAAGGCTGCAGATCCTTCAACAAAAGGTTGAAAAGTGAACAAGCCCACTAAGCAAGAAAAGGAGTGCTTGCCTGTCTCTCAGAAGTACCAGGTATATCTGTGCTGATTTTTGTACTTAGTTTCTCCTTTAACTAAGAAACTATTTTTGTCTCTGCAGAAAATATCTTAGTGTTAGGACTGTGTTCTTTTTTGCCTAATCTTTTCTCAGCCTTCATCTGAATCTTAACGGATAATGGATGAGTTGGACTTAGCACTGGGAAGATGGAATAACCATTTACTAGAATGTATACTTTCTGAATTTCATTGTATGCTGAGTGCTTGAGATAGGTATTCGATAAATATTGTGAATAAAGAAGACAGTTCTTCAGGTAGAGTAGGTTTTTGTATACTTTGGACCTTGTATCACATCTATTCAGGAATCATTCCCGAAGTGTATCTCTAAGGTGTTCCACCAAATAGTACTGTAGTACGTTTCTAATAAATGGCAACAGTAATTCAAAATAAATTCATTTTATAATACAGGTAAAAATCCAATTATTTACTTTTAAAATAGTGTTGTTTTCATTTCCTTCCTAGACACACAGAACTGGGACTTACACTAGGAACTAGATCAGAAACTAGATTTTTTGCATCCTACAGTTTTGCCAGTGTATCATGCTGCTGGTTTCTGCAGTGTGTTTGCCTTACAATGGGTTCACACAGACCTTTTTCACTTTGCTGGATGAATGTGAAGAAATCTCATTATCTATTCTTGGTACCTAAGCTTTTTATGCCATACCTAATTGAGCTTTTCATGCTACTTTTTAGTATCTTGATTTCAAATCTAGTAGATATAATGTGCATTTTCCTCATTCTGGTGTTTTTAGATAACAAGCACTTTTAATACATTGATAAGACAATTGAACTCTCCTTTACTGTGAATGATTCTTCAGTTGTACAAATATTTTGAGATACAAAATTAAGCAGCTAAAAACTTATTTTATAAATTTGGCACTTTACATTCTATCTTGAACTATTGGATAATATAGTAATATCCCATTTAAGTTCCTGTCAACTAGAATACTTTTCTCAGTTGCTTCCTGTTTTTACTTTGAAGGTACTATCATGAATTGTGCCTTTTTACCCCTCCTTCTCAAATCCTGTTGCCTTGATGTCCTTACTCTGTAAAAAATTAATGGGAATTGTGAATGCGCGTCATTCACAACTGTACACTATAAAATGATTAAAATAAATTTTATGTTAGGTATATTTTACTACCATTTAGAAAATGCTAATATCAAATTTATTTCTACTAAATACTGTTTGTGCTTTAACTTTTTCTTACTTGTCTTAGGACTAAATGCAGGTGTTTGCTTTGGACTAAAAGCCTTGAACTATTCCCAAATGAATACAGTATTGAACAATTGTTCACATGGAATGGCTCAGCCTTAGTCCTTGGCTCATGATACTTCCTGAAGTAATGACTTTGTGGAAACTGAGAACACCAGAGAGATAACATAAATTGCAAGCAGGAAAAGGAAGAATAAAGCTGATTTGTAGCTTTTCACAGTAAAGACTTCAGTGAGCTTATTACTATATTAAAAGTAATTGTTTGATAAGAACACAAGAATGAGGAAAATGCAAGTTATCTACTAGATTTGAAATCAGCTATAGACTTGCTAGAAGTACTACTTATTATTTATAAGTTTATAAGGCTTACTCCCATTTTAGAGATGATGCAACTGAAACTTAAGAGTAACTTCCTAAAGCCATACAGCTAATGATGCTAAATTTGAACTGGTTTTAATTAGTAGACGATAACATAATATTGACTAGGATCCTTCATTGTTCTGCAAGTTTACTGTATGACTTTAGAAGATGTCATTAATTAGCTTTATCCTTTAGATTCTTAATGTTTAAATGAATCAAATCACTTAGAAGCAATGACTTAATAAAATCATTTCTGTTGTACATGCTGAATGCAGAAAAAGATGCTAGACATGTAAGGTCTTGCAACTTATCTTTATTTTTTATCCCTCCTGTACAGACACTCCTATCCTAAAGCCAGTATCTCTCTTACGAAAATGTGATGTGCACAATTCTTCCCTTGAGCCAGATACATCGACACCTATGAAAAAGAAAAAGGGATGGCCCAAAGGCAAGAGCCGTAAACCAATCCACTGGAAGAAAAGACCTGGTCGAAAACCGGGACTTAAGTTGAATCGGGAAATCATGGCCATTTCTACTCAAGAATGCATCATTGAGCCGATTGTCCCCATTCCTAAACCTGGACGTAAAACCAAAACTCAAGAGAATGAAAAAACTGTGGAGCTAAAAGAAGACATCCCCTTATTGGAAGAAAGAAAGGAAGAGGAGATGCAAGTAGAAGCAGAAGAGGTTGAAGAAGGAGAGGAAGAGGACACAACCATCAGTGAAGTTAGACCTGCTTCTCCAGTGGACAGCAGCGACAGTCCTGAGACAGAAGCAAAAGTACCTGAGGTGGAGGAGGAAGAAGAGAAACCTCATATGTTAGAAGAGCAAAGGCAGTCAGAGGAGGAGCCACAAGAACTAGAAGAACAAGAGCCAGAGGAAGAAGATGAAGTGACTATAGAGGCAAACCGGAATGAAGACCATGATGCAGATGATGAGGATGATGGTCATCTGGAATCTTCAAAGAAAAAGGAGTCAGAGGAGCAGCTGGTTAGAGGGGATCTCAAGGAAGAACCTGGCAGTCAGGAATCTTTTTTAGATACTAACATGCAGAATAATAGGGAGAATATAAAGGATAAAGATGAAACAGAACCAGATTCTGAAGAGGAACAGCCTTCTCATGAGGCATCTGTGGTATCAGAGCATATGCCAGGGTCTGAGGATGACCATGAAGAAGATTCAAATACTAAGGAAGAATTAATTGAGTTGAAAGAGGAAGAAGAGATATCTCATAGTGAATTGGACCTTGAAACTGTACAAGCAGTACAGTCTTTGACTCAAGAAGAAAGCAATGAACATGAGGGAGCCTACCAGGACTGTGAAGAAACTCTTGCAGCTTGTCAGACCCTGCAGAGTTACACCCAGGCCGATGAAGACCCTCAGATGTCAATGGTTGACGACTGCCATGCTTCCGAACATAATAGCCCAATATCCTCAGTTCAGTCTCATCCCAGCCAGTCTGTCCGTTCGGTCAGCAGCCCCAATGTGCCTGCCTTGGAGAGTGGTTACACGCAGATCAGCCCAGAACAGGGCTCCCTGTCCGCACCCTCTATGCAGAACATGGAGACCAGCCCCATGATGGATGTGCCTTCTGTATCAGACCACTCTCAGCAGGTGGTAGACAGTGGCTTCAGTGATCTAGGCAGTATTGAGAGTACCACAGAGAACTATGAGAATCCTAGCAGCTATGATTCTACAATGGGAGGCAGCATTTGTGGGAATAACTCCTCTCAAAGCAGCTGCTCCTATGGTGGGTTGTCATCCTCCAGCAGCCTCACCCAGAACAGCTGTGTTGTCACTCAGCAAATGGCAAATATGGGCAGCAGCTGCAGTATGATGCAGCAGAACACTGTCCAGCCTGCTACCAACTGCAATATCAAGTCACCTCAAAGTTGTGTGGTGGAAAGGCCTCCTAGTAACCAGCAGCCACCACCACCGCCACCACCACAGCAGCAACAGCAGCAGCAGCAACAACAGCAGCAGCAGCAGCAACCAGCACCACAGCCTCCACCACCCCAGCCACAACCACAACCACAACCACAGCCACAACAGCAGCCGCAGCAGCAACCTCAGCCCCAGCAGCCCCAGCAACCTCAGCCCCCACCCCCTCCCCAGCAGCAGCCCCCACTGTCACAGTGTAGTATGAATAACAGTTTCACTCCAGCTCCTATGATCATGGAGATACCAGAATCTGGAAGCACTGGAAACATCAGTATCTATGAAAGAATTCCAGGAGATTTTGGTGCCAGCAGCTACTCTCAACCATCAGCCACCTTCAGTTTAGCCAAGTTGCAGCAGCTGACTAACACCATTATGGACCCCCATGCCATGCCTTATAGCCATTCTTCTGCTGTAACTTCCTATGCAACCAGTGTTTCTTTGTCCAATACAGGACTGGCTCAGCTAGCTCCGTCTCATCCATTAGCTGGGACCCCTCAAGCACAAGCCACCATGACACCACCTCCCAACTTGGCATCCACAACCATGAACCTCACATCACCTCTACTCCAGTGCAACATGTCTGCCACCAACATTGGCATTCCTCACACTCAGAGGTTGCAAGGGCAAATGCCAGTCAAGGGGCACATTTCCATCCGCTCTAAATCTGCACCACTGCCCTCAGCAGCAGCTCACCAGCAGCAGCTGTATGGCCGCAGCCCACCCACAGTTGCCATGCAGGCTGGCCCTCGTGCACTGGCTGTTCAGCGTGGCATGAACATGGGGGTTAATTTAATGCCAACTCCTGCCTATAATGTCAACTCCATGAATATGAACACCTTGAATGCCATGAACAGCTATCGAATGACACAGCCCATGATGAACAGCAGTTACCATAGTAACTCTCCCTACATGAACCAGACAGCACAGTATCCTATGCAGATGCAGATGGGGATGATGGGGAGCCAGGCCTATACCCAGCAGCCTATGCAGCCAAACCCTCATGGAAACATGATGTACACTGGCCCCTCCCATCACAGCTACATGAATGCTGCTGGTGTGCCCAAGCAGTCACTCAATGGACCTTACATGAGAAGATGAGCAAGAAAAACTTAGAGTTAAAAACTTAAATATATATAAACAAAGGAACCTTTTATACTGACAAACCAGAGAAAAATGGACCTTTTTCCAGTTAAAATATTGCTGTAGACTTAGAGGAATTTTTCTTTGGTTTATTTTATTTTTTAGAAAACCTGATCTTCTCTTTTTTGGGGTTCATTTTGTTCCGGGTTTTGGTTTTCTTCACAGTCTTGAACATTTTACAGTAGAACTCATCAACAATGTATTTGGGGACGGGGAAACATGCACAAAATCTTTTCATAATTAAAAAGAGCCTTACTTTCTTTACATACCACATGGACAGAATTTGTGTAAAAGTGGATTATCTTTATTTTATTTTAAAAATGTATGTTTCCCCTCAGTCTTTGCAGCTCCCAATGTTGTCATTTTTAAGTGTTATATGCATCTCCAGGGTTAACCATACCCTTTTCTCCAAACCCCACTTTTCATTTCCTACTTCATTCCAGCAGGAGGCACTTATGGGAGACTCAGATGGGGGTGTGGAGAACAACCCAAGCTCCTTAAACTTATTGTTAATATTATTGTTGTTTTTATTATTATTATTATTAATAAAGTGAGGCAGGAAAATGCTTCCTCTCTTGGAAATCCCCTCCACTCCTTATACATGTACACACCTCTTGAAACCTTTCCCCAAGAATGTTTCTTTTATATAAATGGACTTCACTGAAATGTTTTTCTTGAATCAAGTGTAATATAATTTTTTCCTTCTTTTGTAATATTCCCACTCAGCACTCAGAGACACAAAATACTGTAAGTCTCACTTAACAGCAGAATCTCAGAGGAAAGCTGACTGCAATCCTAATCCAACCTTTGGAAGGATAGAGATGGTTAATTAACAGTCAAAAAGAGGAGATAAACCTCTTGTTTTTTACCACCTGGTGAATCAGCCATAACATATCTATACCCCACCCAGCCTCTTGATTTTAGTATGTACTTTGAAATGTTAATTAAGGGTCTTGATTCTTGAGCCTTCGAAGAACAGTCCCCAGCGATTTGCCTCTTACATTCTTTCATTCAGTGTTGGTGGATGACTGGATGTCGCAGTGATTTGAAAAATACCTGACAAACCTTTGACACTTGATTTTATGTTGGAGAAATAGCGCAGAATGTGTGTCCAAAGGGACATTATTTGTAGCTACTTAAGTGATACATACCTCTAGTTTGCATTTGTCTTTTGAGATCCTGAGTTCATCCCCTGTGAATCAGAGTGCAGCAGCCCCTCTCCTGTGAGCGGCTGACAAGAAGAGGGGCAGACCCACCACCAGCATCGTAGGGCACACCTGGGCAGCAGGACTTCAGCAGGTTCACATGTTGTTCCAGTCCATTCTCTTTTCTCTTGTGCAACCAGTTTACCCATTCTCTTCCTATTACTTGCTCCAGGGATAGGTAAAAAAAAAAAACTATATATATATATATATATTCCATCGTTAGAAGATGGAAACTATTATACCACTTGGTATGTGCAGTCAAATATCCAAAGGGAGAAGTACTGCTTAAAGAAATACCTGTAAGCATAATTCTCTCCTTTATTTGTACATTTTATATAGATAAATTTTTAAAGTACTAATTAGGCATTAAATTTTTTTCAGATGCACAAGTTTGTTGCTTTTTTTAATAAACTAATTGACTTTCTCAATTAAGTGTGTTAGAAAAAGGCAGAATTCCACACCTTACTGCTATCAACTCAGCATGTGCAAGGCTGTGTAGGACCCAGTTTCTCTGTATATACTATTCCAGTTCCCAGTCATCTATGTAGAAAGTGCACTGTGCTGCCCTCTCCCTACATCTTCAGCTATATCATTGCTTCCTGGATGGGATAGGGTGGGGATGGGGGGACGGGAGGGAAGTATATTGGGAGGAGGGTGGGTCAAGGCAGAAGGAGAAGCTGTTGAAATGAGGGCCATGAAATCAGTTTCTGTTGGTTTGCGGTTGTGTTTGATTTTGTTTCCTTAAAAAAAAAAAATCAATTGGGCAGCTCCCTTTTCCACAAGCCTCTTTGTGACTGTAGAACTATTGTAGAAAAAAAAATGTTCTTTTCTATATTATAAAAGAAATTATCCAACACAGTAATATTGGTACCTGTCATTTTTTCACTTCAGTTTTAAAAAAAAAATGTATTTTTAGCAAGATAACTTGGGTAATCTTCTAAAAAAGAAATTTAAAAACTCACTGTTAGTGACTTTGATGCCTTTTAAAATAAGAGCTTTTTCATTTCATTCCATCTTTAAAATTTTTTATCTTTGTTGTAGAATATTAAAAACTATTTTAAGAAAGATAAAAATTCTCTTTAAAGAGATCTCTAGAGTGTGTGAATAGAGCTCCAGATGCCTCTAAAAGCCGCATGTACAAATGAAGCTAAGTCTATTCCTGTCTGTTTATATTTGCTTTTCCTGTTTTGTAACCTTTGTACTTTGTTCATGGTGACCTGTAAGCTTGGGGAAGGGTGCCGAGATGCCTTTGGACTTCTCCATGTCATGCGCTCCCGGGCCAGTTGGCCCCCTTCCTCTCCTTGTATGTAATATCTTTTTTTCCCCTTTCTAGCAAGTACTTTCAAAAGAACTCTGTACATTTTAACATAAAAAATAAATTATGTTGAGCCATTTTGGATGTCTGTCTTGCATGTGAAATTTTTCTCCCAAATATTTCAGGCTCTCCAGTTCTTTTTCCACACACACACAGACACAGACCTGTAGATGTTAGTCTTTTTCATATTCCTCTATTATTTCAAGTAAAAGTTTGCTTTGAAATTCCAATTTTCAATCATGTAGATTTTTAAATGCCTATCATTTCCTTTTCCAAAGAAAATACTTAAGATTTTTCAGGGAAATCCATTTGAAAACCTTCCAAAGGGATAATTTACTCACCTAAAGAAAAGAAACACAATTCCAATAACAAATAGCTCTTAGAATTTGAATAATTAGAGGAGTAATTTTTATTATTATTTTAAAATGAGACATTTTTAAAGGAAAGTTTTTTTTTTTTCTCAGTTTACCTGATTATAATCTAGGAAAATTTGTCCTCATTTTGCCAAGGGATCTTGTACAAGGTTCTAAACATGAGACTTTTTGGTGTCTGAGCTGTTGAGCTTTCCTCTCATCATTGAGAATCTTGGCTATAAGGCAGGTTGCAGAAGCTTTGTGAACTCAGCCTTAGGCTCTTGTGGTGGAGCCATGAGGCAGTGCAAGTCTTAGTAGCCACTGCACTGTCATCAACAGGAATTTAGGAAGTGCACATGACAGCTATGGCCAACATTTGTTCTAAAACACCACTAAAGTTTAGATGGTACAGACACTTCGTCTTCAGGAAAGAAACAATTTGTGTCTCTTGTTTTCTTCAATAACAAATGATTTGGTCACAGGCTTTATCGCTGCACTATGCAGTTATTTGTGGGTTTTTGAAAAAACATACATCTAGCCTTTGCAGCTACAAAGCGCCTGCCTTAAATGAAACATAAGCATTCTGATATTTCTAAAAGGAGACAGTGTGACAAAAGAGTGCATTGTAGGCACTTATTTTTACCACCCCCTCACTATGTTAATACTGTAATATGAATTATATAATCCCACTTAACAGCCAACTCATGAATGATCTCTGAGTAGAGAAGGTGCTCCCATTTCTTTATTGTCTGCATTCTGGTCTTTTACCATTCCAAATATAGATATGGGAGGAATTTGATAGTATGCATCATTAATGTGACTAGGAGTCATAATCCTTCAAAGTCTCTGGGCATCTCAGGTGGTACCTGCTCCGTGGTGACAACTGTATTCACTGAACACCAGAGTCTTGTCTCACTAACAGTTCTAGCTTCTTACTTCAGATTCTCCAAATTACAGTTTGGGCATTGCCTAGTGATCTTTGTCATATTCCTCCCCCTGGTCTTTTCACAGATTGCAAGATAAGGGTCAGTGATGATGTTAAGTGAAAGGGATAATTAAAAGAGAAAATTACTGCACTTGGCAGAACAGTTTGCAGGACTATTAGGTGGATGGATTCCTTATGTACGTTGGTGTATAATTACATAATGCAGCACAGTCCACCCCACCCCCAGGTACAAATTGGGCTTAATGTAAATGCCTTACCATCTTAATGAGCCCCAATACTGGCATACCAGTTATATAAAGCCTCAAAAAAAGTGACAACTTTAACTTTAGCTGAAATAGGGAATGCCCAGGGGTATGATGGGGCTTTTGTTTTTGAGATTTTTAAAATAACTAAACAGAGGTAGTCACGGTGAGTTGTTTTCCTGTGGCTAATAAAAATAAACCTGGTATGAAACATACATCCAAGTTATTTCAGTGAGAAAATGCTTTTCTAAAGTTTAATCCTTTGCTAGATAGACGTTTCTGGAAGCCATATTTGTGCCATGTTCAGAAAGGCTATGTTAAATGTTCTCTGAGATGCTATTTAACATTCACGCAGCCATCTTTCGTTCTTACACACATGACTGAGCAAGCAAAAACAGATGAACTGAGAATCATCTATGCTTGATCATCTTTGCTGGCAGTTAGCTACAGTGCTGGTATATTTAACTGGGATTTGAAAAATTGATCATCTGCTTAGTGTTGGAAGACACGGCCCATTCAGATCACCTCTCACATTATTTAAATTTAACTTAAAGAGCTTTTTGAGCCCCAGAATCTTGTATTTCTGAAAATTTCCTACAAACCCTTTAAGTTGGTGTCTTCAGTTTAGTCTACTGTGAATAAAGAAAAACATTCATACATTAAACTTTGCTTGTTCTGCACGCAAATCAATTGATTTATTACATTTGATAAAAGTGACATTCTTTTTGTTTTGTGTTTTTGAGACAGGGTCTTGCTATATAGTTCAGACTGGCTTTGAACTCACTATATAACTCAGGCTGGCCTTGAACTTGTGGTGATCCTCCTGCCTCAGCCTCCCAAGTGCTGGGATTACAGGTGTCCAGCACCATTCCTGGTTTTCTTTAGTAAAAGATGAATAATAAAGCAGTTGTAGTCAGTGATGTAAAAAAATTGAATCTGAATATAGTTTTCCAAAGAAAATGAAAACCTATAATGACAGACAGTGGTAAAGGCTTTTCTATAGGCAAGGGCTTCTGGCAAAGTAGGGTAATTAATTTCAAAGAAGTTTGGTTTGGCTCCTTGTTTAGGGAAAATAACTAGAATTGGCAAGAACTCCTAACTACATCCTCAACATGTTCTTGGTTGGAAAGTAAACCTGAAAGTTGCATAATGTGGACTATTTCAAGGATCAAGGAAGTAATTTCACTAAAAGTACAAAGGAAAACATAGCAAAACAGGTAGAAACCAGCCCCTGCTTACTGCCTTTGTTAGGTGTCCGTGTAAGGAGCTCAGGCTGCAGTACATCTTGTCACCTTCCACCTCCTGTGCTGTGCGAACTTGGTCTTCAGATGCTTCCTGTGTAGTTTCAGCTGTCACACGAAGACAGGGGAATGCCCGGAATTGTCCCCTTACATCTTTCTTAAGTCCTTTTTTATTGTGAAAATAAAGCATAAATAGTCTAAAAGAAAAGAAAGTATAGCCAAATGATTTTGTATATAATGAATGCTTCTGTAAAAGCAAATCGAGTTCAAAAACCAAAACAGCAAGCCAGCCTGACTAGGAGGGCACCTTTTTAATCACATTCTTCCACCCAAAGATAATCACCACCTAGACCTATAAGGTAAATACTTTCTTAAAATTTCCTTGTACTTTACTGCCTAGGTCTGCAGTCTTAAACGCCATTCTTTCATTTCATTTTGCCTCATTTTGTACTTTGAAGAAATGGAATCATACAGTTTCTATCTGGCATCCCTCAACATGTTCGTGAGGTTTGTTTATGCCTTTGGACATAACTGTAGTTCATTTATTTTCACTATCATATAATGTTATATGACTGGACAAAACTATACTTACACATTCTGAAGTAGACAAATATTTAAGTTCTTCCCATTTGGGTTATTACAAATTCATTGGTCTCCTGGTGCACATTTGTAGACGTTTCTCTCAGGTATATTCCTAAAAGATAGCATAAGTGTAACTTTAACTGTATGGTAATGCCAAAGATTTCAAAAGTAGCCATATATTTTTTTCTCCACAGTCTCTTCAATGTTTGATATTTTCAACTGTTTTAATTTTTACCAGTCTGGTGCAGGTATAGTGGAAACTCTGGTTTTCTTTCACATTTCCCTGATTACTAATAAGGTTGAATACATTTTCATATTTGTATTGGCTATTTGAAATTCCACTTTTGTGATGTGTTTGTTCAAGTCTTTTTAACTATTAAAGTTGCATTTTTCTTCTTGTAAGAGTACTTTATATACTTTGAGTAACAGTCTTTTGTCAGTTACGTATGTTACACATATCTTCTCCCACTCTGTGACCTGCTCTTTCACTCTAATGGTGCCTTTTGATGAAGTTCCTAATGTGTTCCTGTTGAATAAATACTTCCTTTATGGGTAGTGCTTTTTCTACCCAGATTGAGAAATATTTTCCTACCCTGAGATTATGATGTTATTCTCTGTAATTTCTAACAGTTTCATTGTTTTGCTCAGATAGTCAAATCTTTAAATATCTGAAATTGATTTTTTTGTTTATGTTATGAGGTAGGGGATGAGTTTTTTTCATATGTTTACATAGTTCTCACACTATTTATACTTTCACCACTGCTTGACATGGTGTCCATATATACATAGGTCTATTTCTGAACTATGTATTCTATTTCACTGCTCTATATGTGTTATCCTGTTTTAATTACTGTAGCTTTAAAATAAATCTTCATATTAAATAAAACAAATCCTCCTAAGTTTTCTTCTTCAAAAGTGATTGATTCTTCTATGCTTTTGCATGTCTATGTATTTTTAGAATTAGCTTATCAGAACTTTAAAAAAAATCCTACTGACATTTATTGGAGTTGCATTTATAGTAAAAATCAGTTTTGTGAAAGTTAACATCTTAATCATTGATTCATTCATTGAACATGGTATAGCTCTGTATTTAAGATTTCTTTAACTTATCAATATTTTAAAATTGATTTCTGTATGAGATTTCTGCATTTTATTTCCTTTATGAGTAGTTAATATTTTTGAAACCATAAAAATATGAACATAATTAATTTTGGCAATCAGAAATGTGTGATTTTTGTATTTAAACTTTGTATCCAGTAATCCTGTTAAATTCAATAATTCTAAAAATTTACCTCGAGAAACTTCTGGATTTTTACCTATATAGTTATATCATCTCTAAAGATGAATTTTACTTCTTTTCCACTTTTTATCTTTTGTTTGTTTGTTTTTGCTTTTTCTGGCCTCACAGAATAGGGTTTGGCTTTGGTACAATGTTGAAAAGAAGTGATGAGAACAGCCATGCCCTTAATCAGATAAAGGAAGACCCACTCATTTCCTAATTTCTTAAGAGTCTGTATCATGAAGTAATGTTGAGTTTCATCAAATGCTTTTTCTGATTTTTTTTTCCTAGAATTTGTTGATATGGCCAAAATGTTGTTTGCTTTCCTAATGTTTATCCAATATATGGGAAGATATGTAGGTAAATCTAAATGATTATACACACATACATATAATTAAGGTGATAATTTCATGTTAGTAGAGGATAAATGGAGTTGAAGTA